ATAGACTTACTTTTATTTTATAAATCCTACCCTATACCTTACTATTTAGTAGTAATAACTTTTTACTTTTTTAATACCTTCTCTTTTTCCTTTTTTATTACTATAGTATATTCTACTACTTATAGTGAATTTATAGGCTATTTTATACAAGCCTTAATAAGTATAAAGATAATAAGGTTTAAGGTATAAAATAAGTTATATATTAATTTTCTATAGTAAGAAGTCTTTTTTTAAAAGGAGATATATAACTTATATAAATCCTAACTCTAGACCTTAATTAAAGATATTATATTATTATATAGGTTATAGATTTCGTGTTCAAGAAGGCTTAGAGGACGACTACAAGTGCCTCGGTTCATGGATTAAAGAGAGTATGTTACAACCTACTACGCTAAATCACTGAATCCTCGTACTGGCATGTGGCGTTTTTACTGCAAAATAAGCATTAAGGCATATGACGTCAACATCAGCTACAGCTTTGACACATAACTCTACTGCCTTCGCATGGATTTCCCAAAGCTTCATGCTATTCTGCACTCGCCGAGGTCTACCCCGAGGACTGCTGTAATCAGAATACCACTTATGCTTCCTACGCGTCATGACGTCCTCTACTGGCGGGACTACCATTCTCGATCCGCATACTCTCCTGAAAGGCCTAGAAGATCAGCCCTGGTTCGAGAAGAACATTCCTCTACTGGAAATACCCGATAAGCAGATCCAAGAGGTGTACTACTACCGTTGGCAGACCTACAAAGAACACCTTGTTTACACTGGAACGGAGTATGGTTACGTGGCCAGTGAGTTCTTGAACCCCGTCAGCTACGGCGCACCGTATGGTGGTATCGTGGCGGCTGCAGGTCATCATACCACCGAAGGTCGGTGGATACGTGATACGAGATATGGCCAGGATATCGCAAAGTATTGGCTCGCTGGGCCAGGACAGTTCCCAAAGCCAATGAGAGACGATGTCAACAAAGATACCTGCGACTGGGCGCACGAGTACAGCTTTTGGGCTGCCACTGCGCTGTGGAAACAATACTTGGTCACAGGAGATAGAGAATTCGTAGTCGGTCAGCTTACGAATCTGGTGAAGCAATATCGAGGCTGTGATAACCATTACTCTGACTCACTAGGCCTGTATTGGCAGGGACCTGTTTGGGATGCCACGGAGTATACAGCTGCTTCTTACGAGTCTAGTGATCCCTACCATGGAGGTGCCGGCTTTCGGCCTACGATTAACTCATATCAGTATGGAGATGCCATTGCCATAGCAAAAATTGCTGCTTTGGGTGGAGACTCTGATCTTGAGAATGAATATCGACGCCGGGCAGAAAGTCTGCGAGTCGCAGTACAAAAGCACCTTTGGGACAATGAGAGCAAATTCTACAAACACCAGGCCCGTGACGACAACCCCTCCGGCTCCCTGCTGGGTACCAGAGAAATCATGGGCTATCTTCCCTGGATGTTTGAAATGCCGTGTAATGAGTCCCAACCTGCTGCCTTCTCCCAGCTCAAAGACCCCCAAGGATTCTTTTCAAAGTTTGGTCCAACTACAGCTGAGCGAAGAAGTAGGTGGTTCATGTATGAAGCAGAGAACTGCTGCAGGTGGGACGGTCCTTCATGGCCATTTGCAACTTCGCAGACTCTGACTGCCATCGAAAATGTCCTCCATGATTATCCAGCGCAGAAATACATCACTCCCGAGGACTACTACGAAATGCTGCATCGGTACGCTCGAACACAATACAAAAATGGGCAGCCATACGTCGCCGAAGCTCATCATCCTGATGAAGACAAATGGATGTATGACGGCCACAATCACAGCGAAGATTATAACCACTCGACCTTTGTCGATAATGTCCTAGCCGGGCTTATAGGACTTCGAGCCCAGTCTGGTGAAACACTAGTCGTCAATCCCTTGACTCCTTTCAACTGGGACTACTTCGCTGTCGAGAATGTGGCTTACCACGGCCATTCTATCACTATCCTATGGGATAAGATAGGCTCAGTCTATAACCGAGGCCAAGGCTTGAGAGTTTACGTTGATGGTCAACTTGCTGGGAGTCGAGGAACAATCGGTCTTATAAAAGTCGAGGTCGGTCCATCTCTCCCAACGCGTGTTCCCTCCCGAATAAACATCGCAGCAAATGGCCAGCGGGATCCCCAACTTCCAATTGCTTTTGCTTCGTACACGTCTCCAGCAGATGATCCTATGCGGGCGATCAACGGAATGATCTTCCGAACAGTAATTCCACAAAACAGCCGTTGGACTTCGTATAATAGTCCAAACCCAAAAGACCATTTCGGAGTCGACCTGCATGAGGATCAAGCTATCGATAATGTGCGATTTTCTTCTACGATGATTCAGATGGTGTTCGGATCCCTACCAGTTACGACCTCCAGTACTGGACAGGGAATGTTTGGGTGACAGTCCCCGGACAGATTCGCAGCCCGATGCCAACCAGCTCAAACGCTGAGACCACGATCAAATTCCCCTCCATATCGACTTCTCGACTGCGTGCTGTGGCATCTAATGCTGGGTCTGCGGTTGGATGGGGTTTATCTGAATTTGAGATTTGGACATCAATCAAATAGCCTCTCTCGATAGCGAAATAAATGGCCTTTGAAGCCTCTGTAAACTGTTACTTTTGAAGGTACTTCGTCTTTAAACTGTAGTTTATCGCACAAGAGATTGGCTTGAGACATGTATGAGCTGATTATGCTTATCTTAGCGCGCTTTTCCTTATCTCAAGCCCGCCACCAAATTAATCTTACTGCAGCTAGCTCCTCTTCGTCTCTTACAACCTCGTTGTCATGCTCACGTGTGCTAAATTGGCTTGCCGTCTCATAAGACTTGACTAGGCTTATTATAAGCTGACTTTCATCAATAGCATCATTAGCCATCTGTTTCCCACTCAAGTCGGCTCCATTGGCCCAACTTAGCAACCACACTCAATGTCGTGGACATGAACGACAACTTTGCCGATGGCATTGCCAGTGGCTCAATTTCTCCCAATATCACACCAAGTACTACAGATCTCAAGAGGAAACGTGAGAATAGCACTGCATCCCTAGCCATATCACGGGAGCCTAGTGTTTCATTCCATATCGGGAGCGAATTGCGACAGACTCCCCAGTCCTCGTTCCTGTCATACGTATGGTGCACTGGGCTTGACTCTGACTGCGTATCGTGCGGAAAACCTTTCCTTCCCGACGGAGAACCTCCGATACGAACCATAGCCGCTGGGAACAGCATTTTTCCACCGTTTGTCATCGATATCACTCAGGAACCAGTATCGCCGTGGAATCTAAGAATCTTCAACAGACACATGTCCTGTATAAAGGCTAAAAAGGTCAGCTATGTCCCGATTTCTCATGCCTGGCATCAAAAGGTGGCCACTGCGCAGGACCTTCGTCTGGAGAGCATCGACGCTTCCAGGCTGGTTTATCAAATACCAACCCGGACTCTCTTGGCACTCACGGCTATGTTTCCCGGTTGCGAAGTCTGGCATGACTACTTGAGCGTTCCGCAATGGCGCCCCGAGGTTCAGGAACGGCTCCTCCTTTTGATACCGGAGATATATAATCATGCCGCGAAAACAGTGATCCATCTGGACGACGTCAGAGCAACCCATTTCTCTTGTAATGTCAAGGACTCCTCCTACGACAAGTTCATCGCTGACCTTGCGGCCACTATTCGGTCCCGGTGGTTCGACCGCATGTGGGTGACACTGGAGTACATTCAGAGCAATGACGTCCTCATCCTCACGGAGGATTACACGATATGTGATGATTATGCCAGGGATGTATGCCAGCATCTAGACACTGCGCACTCAAAATGGGTCAAGAAACGAAGTAATTCGACTGTCACAGAGGACATTTGGAAGCAAAATACGACTCTAAAAAGGATGACTTCATGGATAGATATGGAGGCTTGGAAGAATGAGCACGAAATGCATCGAACTCTCGGGTGGGCAATCGGAATACTAGGTCACCGGAAGTGTCAGTATACAAGAGACTACTTCTTGGCTCTCGGGAAGATGCTTGATTTCCGACCAGAACAAGACCCTCTTATTCTCATCGAGAACCGCTTTTCATACTTCTTTTCTCTGGCGATATATGCGCTACAACAGGGCGATTATTCCCCACTATTGTTCATCCCGTCACCAGGCGAAGAAACGGACCCCCGAGCACCGTGGCTGCGTGGATATTCTACGGGAACGTGGAAGCTCTGGGACATGGGCCGATGTCATAGGAAAGCGGCGTCTCAGCCAATCATTCGGGACGGCAAGATCCAACCCAAACTACAGACGGTCGGTGTCATTGAAGCCTTTGAGTACTACGACTTCGAAGGAGACGCGGAGTCGGTCGTGGACTATATTGCATCCAAGATAGTCCGGGCTAGCGGCCAGAATACACAAGCTCTATGTGACGCTATGGATCGCATATTCCCTCGGAGCGAAGAGAAAGCATTAAACATGGAATGGAAAGACACAAACCCTGAACATGGCTCTACCTCTACATTTAGGTATGATTTGGATAAGATACAGAGACTTTTAGAAAAGTTTGAACCGTTACTAGACATCAAACCAGGGCAAGAAGCAACTCAACAGAGGTTCGATATTGCGAAGAAGATGATCAGAGCCTTGAAGCTAAGCAAGGAAGGCAAGCACGCAAGAGAGTCGCGTCTGGAGCTTGCAGCCGGAGAAGCAGACTGGTTCTTGCGGGAGTACGGGACGCCAATGGAAGGTATTAGTCAGATCAGATGTAAGATTTGTAGGCAGCGGTCTGTGTTCCGACTGGTTATGTGGGGGGAGCCTATCCCAGATGTAGCGCAGATCTATAGAATTCCTGGGCTTCTTTATGATGAGAATGTTCCGGATGGTATCGGGATCGTCGTGGAGCATGATAGGATAGTTGGAAAGATGATATATGGAACGCCGGCTTGTGGATGCTGTAAGTTCGAGTTTGTTGATATAGGTCCAGCGAATCTTTAGGCCAATACTGACAAACATTAAACACTGCATGCTTCTTAACTATTGATCCTCTCCTCTATAAGTAATTTTTATCAGGTGGCAATCTATCGCACACTTGATCTAGATGAGCTTCAAATCAAGCTCGACAGAAGGCACTCCCTGAAAGTCGGAGGGCATCGTGTACGTGAAGTTCCAAAACTCAAAATCCCGAATCAGACTATCCGCACCGCCGTAGCCACCGGCAAATGAGAGGCTATAAGTCGAATTGATGTTGCCAGAGACCTTCACCTCCAAGCCTTGAATGTCAGCCCAGCTAGCGACGGTACGTTTCTTCTCAAAGGTTCCGACGACAAAGGTAAAAACGGAACTGGCTTTGCCGTAAGGGTACGATAAACTGAGCTTGCCAGGCTTCACGCGAGATTGGAGAGCCATCTCGGTTGGGTATAGCTGGAGAACTTGTTAGCTTTGGGTGCCTGGGACAAGATTTGGTGTTCATACAGAAATAAAGGAGATCTCGTTTCCGGTATTCCATTGGACCACGGCAGGGTTGAAAGACCCCTGAGATTGCGATGGGCCGCCAATAACAATCTCATCATACGACTCGGCGCCGATAGTAAGATCCTCAGATAACCAAGTAGTAATGTTACGTGATGCAGTGTCGAAGGGAGGATAGTAAGCGCTCCCCGTAAAGGTATGCTCGCCCTGGAATTTTGAAAGCTTGCGGAGTGTCTTCTTCGGGATAAGTTTCTGGTGTGTCTTGTCGAGAGCCGCGAAAAGAGGCGCCCAGGCGTAGTCGGCCATGTGCGACATAACTTGAGGCTGCGGCAACCGTATCAGTACAATCTCAACTGCCAATGTGAGGGAATACATACGTGAGAAGTCAGAGAGGAGCTCTCTTTGCCAGTCAAAGTCCAGAACCACAAGGCCATCAAACTGAGATAGCGGTTCATATCATAGCCGTAAGCTCGGTCCCAGGGGCCAGCTATGTTCTTCATACCGGGATGCCATAGTTGGGAAACAGCATCCCAAGTTCTTTCAACCATTCGTGGCCCGTTCTTAGTCATAACTGAGTCCTTGGGCAAGTACTTGCTCCACAGGATGAGACCGAAAAGAGATACACCGGTATAGGTGCCTGAGTTGAACTCGGAGAGGGTGTCGTGTTTGTTGAAGAGATCGATGATGTCTTGAGCGTATTTTTCGCCACTAACGGTCATGTTTCTGTCATTGAGACGACGACCAGTCCAACCAGAAACAAAGGCACGCATGATAGACTACCATTAACCATGGTCAGAAATCGATAACGCACGAGGCTCTAGACTGGAAAGTACTTACAGGGTTACTATAAGAGGGGTAAAGGTTATCCTTGGTGTTGTCGAGGTTACCGAACCGGTATTCATCACCCTTTGTCGCGTTATGCAAGGAGTGCAGAATCAGATTCTGAGTGCTCTTGCTGAGCAAGTGAGGAAACTCTTCCATACACATGACCAAAGTCGTGCCAACGAAACCGCGCCAGTTAGGGTCCCAGCTACCGTAGATCTTGGGAGGATAAGCTGGGCTGCCAACGTAAGGCTCTTCAGGCTCTTGCTGATAGTCTCCATACCTGATACAGTGTAAGGGTCAAATCAGTTGTGCCATTGGCTTTGGGACATACCATTCATCAGCCGGGACTTTGTACTGAGCATCAATGGTGTTCTTGATGATCTTCTCAGCCTCGGCTGCATCCGACCCCTCGTTCCTCGCCAACAACCCGAAGGCATACCAGACCGAGCTACGCGTTTCATGGCGGAGGGCTACCGCAGCGCTGAAGTCGTATAAATAACCTGCTTTCTTATCGTAGAAGGTATCCATCCATTCCATTGACTCAGTGAAGAGCTGCTGCGCATTCGGCGACATGGACTTGACGTAGCTACCTGCAGCATTTCCATGACTGACTGCAAGAGCTGCAAGGCTGATGATAGAGGAGAAACGCATGACTGCCACTTTTTTTAAACCTGTATGAGTGGATGGAGAGAAGGGAAGGTGTGAGGAGGCCATGCCATGTTATAAACCATGCTATCATACATCGAAACTAGTTGCGCGAGATATTAACCCCATTCTACCATGAAAGCCGAGTTCGGCATCATGTCATGCAAGAGTCTGCCGATCAACATCTTCGAGTTCAGACCTTCCAATTTCCACGTATCGCAATGATAACCCTAGCTCGGTTCCCCGATGCTAACACATGAACCATGTGGAGTGGCTGGTTACCCCGCATAGACTACGGCCTTATCTGGCTCACAAGACCGATCTCTCAGTTCAAGATATCCTATCTAATCACGGCCTTCACCGGTGTTTTAGCCGAACCGGTCCGTAGTTGGCCGTTGATTGTGCATCTGTATTATCGCCCTTGTATCCGACTTGTCTCCGCGATTGGAGAGACTGGGAAAATGGGGTCACATAGACCCGTTCTGACCAGGGGATTTGCATATCACAATGCTTACACAACATGTGAGCGTTGTGCCGACTGCCCGATAAGCTATCGTTCGAGAATTAAGATAACGCGCTAGGGCATGAATATGCTTATATCTCGCGTGACCCCAGGATGCATAACGAAACCCTGACATTTGCAGCGCAATATTACAGAGAATAGATTTGAGCCAGCAGATCCCGACTCTGTTCAACGACAATGGCCGCACCAGACGATCAAGGCATATCCAGCATGAAGCGGAGTCTGGATATTTCGGAGACAAAAGCCGAGATCAACGCAGATGAACTTCGCCTTGCGCAAATGGGTTCGTCTAATCATCATTTCCGATTCTCGGTTATACTAATTCTTGTAATCAGGTCATACCCAAGAGCTCAACCGACACTTCAGTACCCTAAGTCTGATCGGTCTGGCCTCCACTACAACCATCTCATGGACGGGCTTGGGTCTTGGTCTGATCACCGAGATTGGAGCTGGGGGTCCTGGCGCGGTTATCTACGGCTTCATCCTCGTGACGATTCTGCAGTGCTTTCTTGGAGCGTCGCTCGCTGAGTTTGTGTCGTCTTATCCTACCGAGGGCGGTATGTATCACTGGATTGCGGCTGTGGCTCCAAGAAGAGCAACTGGAATCCTTAGCTTCCTCACTGGTTGGTTTAGCGTTCTTGGCTGTAAGTCATCGCAGATAAAGAAGGAATTCATTCACTGACGGCTCAGGGATCTTCACTACTGCATCCACCAACATCATCTACGCCCAGATCCTCATGGCATTGATCGCGCTGTACATAGCCGACCTCGAGATCAAGGCCTGGCAAACTTTTATCGTCTACCAAGGCTTAAACTTACTCACCGCTGCCGTTGTAATGTTCGGCAACAAGATCATTCCCGCCCTGAACAAGTTTTCGCTTTTCTACTTACAGATCGGCTGGCTCGTTGTGCTGGTCACCGTTGTTGCGTGCGCTCCGACACACCGCGATCCTGAATTCGTTTTCAGGACTTGGATCAACACGACTGGGTGGAACAACAACGCCATTTGCTTCATCACTGGTCTGGTGAATCCTCTGTACTCTCTTGGCGGTCTCGATGGTGTGACACATATCACAGAAGAGATGCCCAACGTATGTTTTGCTGATCCTTGAAGATACATGAGCAGCGACTGACTTGAAGCAGCCTTCAAAGAATGCTCCCCTGGCCATCGCTATTACCTTGATCATCGCGTTCTGTACTGGTCTCACGTATCTTATCAGTCTCATGTTCTCGATCCAGGATTTCGATCAGCTCACATCTGGTAATACCGGAATGCCCCTTGCAGAGCTGTTCCGCCAGGTCACCCAAAAGACTGGCGGCGCGTTCGGTCTCTTATTCATCCTATTCATTGCTCTCGGTCCATGCGTAATCAGCTCGCAGCTCAGCACTGGTCGAATCTTCTGGGCCTTCTCCCGCGATGGTGCCATCCCGCTTTCCAAGGTGTAAGTCCACAACAGAGCGATTTGACAGGTTCGTAGCTAACCCATACTTGTTCAGCTGGTCCAAGGTCCACCCAAGCCTCAAGATCCCCTTCAATTCTCAGCTTGCAGTCACGGCAGTCATTGCTGCTCTGGGATGTTTGTATCTCGGCTCATCGACTGCCTTCAACTCGCTTCTCGGAACGGCCGTCACCATCAATAACATCTCTTACATGTTCCCAATTCTCACCAACCTGCTCACCGGCAGGAAGAACATGCACAAGGGCGTGTTCCACATGGGTCCAACTATCGGGCCCATTGTCAACACCGTAACGGTCTGCTGGCTTACGTTTGCCATCATCTTCTTCTCCTTCCCTTACGTTATGCCCGTCGAGGTTGCAAACATGAACTATACCTGCGTCGTCGTGGGAGGCCTGGCAATCTTAATTGGCGGATGGTGGCTGAAGGCCGGTAAGGAGTACACTGAAAGAATGATGAAGGCAAAGGAAGAATAAAAATTGAACCAAGGCTCTGCTGATGTAGCGATATGTTTATAGAGATGAAGCCCATTATTCCGTTCACATTTCATTGTACGCAATATAAATAGGTTGATAGCATGACTCGTGCTTAGGATGTAACCATATTGACAGGGTTCGACCTCGTATCACGACTCTTGGCAAGGAGTTCATTTCTGTTCTGGGAATACTCACCGTATAAGGGGCTCGAGCGCTGCCATCTCCCCTTTGACATATTAAAGCAGGATCAGCTGAACTAAGATCTACGCAGTCGTTGTTCTCTTTAATCATCCTCCAAGATGCGCTTCTATCCGACATTGGCTTCCGTGGCCTATCTTGCCTCTGGCGTTCAAGCGCATTTGCCCCACTACAACTATGCGCGAAACGCCAACGCTTTGACCGTCTCCCTAGAACCTGTATCTGGGCAGTCAGCTCAGGTCAAGGTCACTTTAAAGAACGACGGACCTACTGATCTGAGTCTCCTCAAGATTGGTACAATTCTTGATGAGCGACCCGTCAAGAAGCTCTCATTGAAGGATCAGAGCGGCATGTACCAATCCCAACACGACAGCCAAGTTACTAACATAAGGCAGGAAATGAGTTACCGTTCATGGGCATCGAGTTGAGCCTATACTACGATGGACTTAAGACCAACCACTTTGAGACGCTTAAAACCGGGTCCTCCATCTTTCGAGTTGTTGACTTGTCCACCATGTACGACTTGGAGCCTGGTACATACTCTGCATATGCAGAGGGTAGTCTTCCCGTCGGGTCTGAGGAGTCCAGCAAGCCGCTTCCCGCTTCCTTCAAGTCCAAGGCTCTCTCTATCAAGGTTACCAAAGCGTCATCAGCCGAGGCAAAGCAAAAAGCATCGAAGCGTACCATTCTCCAGGGTGACTCATGCACCGCTGAGAAGCTCGAGCTCACTGCAAATGGCGTCAAGAACTGTGAAACTCTTTCTCGAGCCGCAGCGAAGGATGCATCCGACATTCACTCCGCGAGGTTCGTCGAGTACTTCAAGTCAAACGAGACCAAGGCTCGCGAACACGTCACAGGCCGACTTCTTGCCGTCGCCGAAGAGTGTTCTACTTCTAACAGTGGCAACACACGAGTCTTTTGCAGAGATGAGATTGGATACTGTGAGAGCGATGGCCCCTTGATCGCTTACACGACCTGGGTCAACGGCTATGTCACCATGTGCCCGCTATTCTACGATACGCTGCCTCCTCTACCACTAAAGTGCCATAAGCAAGACCACGCCACTACGACTATTCACGAGATGACGCATGCTAGAGCCGTGTATGAGCAGGAGGTTTCGACTCAGGATTATGCCTATGGCTATGAGAACTCTACTGCTTTAGATCCTCTGTCTTGTCTTTACAACGCTGATTCTTATTCTCTTTACGCCAACGGTATGTTCCTTATGCTCCACGGCCCTGTTAATAAATTTGGTGATCTGACAGTCCTCAAGCGGTTTATCTGGATTGTTGATAGTGTCTGATGTGACTTGAGATCGTCAATGATGGAGCCACTACCTGTCAGCTAGAGACTTCTAAATGAGGGCCAATCTATTTAACATGCTACCATCTTATCGCAATCAGTAATCGTTCCATAGCATATTTATCCCTCTGTGGTTCAATTCCTCGTTAGCAAGGCCTTTGTAATGCTTAGAGCCTTTACTCCACTTAGAATAACCAGGGTAGGCAGGACTTAGGGACATAGGTCTCGGCTTGTAATATTTAACTATCATTGTGAGGGCTCATTTCTCTTTACCTTGCTACAAGAAACTTCTTTTCCGCTCCCAGCCCTACGGGACCCTGTCGGCGGAGGCTTAACTCGTGGCAAGGGACGCGACACTCAGATTGCCCAATCCCTGGCAGAAGCTTCTATCGGTGTCTCCATCCCTCCTACACGTGCTTGTATGTAGTTTGCTGATTATTTCTGTTCCTTATCTTTTTGTGCGTTGGAGCTGACGCTCCTTTTGCCCTCTCAACCTTATCACATTGTCTTATCTAAGCACATGACGGAGACTGCCGCGGGCTTTGCAGCTAGTATTGTCATACACTACGAACTTTACGAGTCAATGCGTACACAGTGAACAGTGCAAAGTAGTCACGATAGCCTGCTATTGAGTGTGATATGTAAAAGGAAAATATGTAACATAGAAGTGTAAACCACCTTTCTTATTCCCCCCCCGGTGATCGTTGATCCTGCAATTTAGTTGATGTGGGCATTGAAGTTGGTGACAGTGAGCCTAGCATTGCTGCCACTATTAACTAGTTAGTACTTGTTCGTCGGGATGAAGCAAGTTGGACTTACGTGAAAGGCTCGGTACCGAATTGGAAGCCTGTAGTTGTAATGTTAGTCTTTGGGTGGGTAGGCAATAGAGTACAGAGACACATACTGAGGAGATACTGCTTGCTGGCGGGGTAGCCCTGGCTGTTGGCCATATAGTTGAAGAATTGCTTGACATCAGAGTTGAAGCTGTTGACAGGGCTGGGGGCGACGAAGCTGAAGACCTTCATGCTGCCGTTATAGCCGACCCAGAGATCCCAGCTGCGTCCCTCAATAGTGACGGTGGTTTGCTTGGATCCAATAGGCTGAACATTGCCATATCGGGCGAGCCTACCCCAAAGCGTCTTAGCACCAATGTAATATCCGATATTAGTCAGGGGCAGTACTCACCAGATCATAAGCTCATAGTCACCACTCGACGTAGAATGGTTGGGGTCAGCAGCCGTGAAGAGATCGTAGGCAACGTCAGCGCGAACGTTGGTTCCGCTGTAGGACCAAGCAGCAGCAGACTGCATGTTGCTGATGGAGCTGACGATGCGCTTGGTGCCAACCTGCAGAGCAGAGTTAGGATACGACTTGACGTCGTTCTGGCCGCCGGACCAGGTCCAGTCAACGTGCCATCCGGCGCCGTTGCTGTTGGACCAGTCGATGTAAGTGCACTGAGATCCAGAGCCGGAACTCTGACCCCAGCGGTTGTTGTTGAACTCGTAGCCGCCGTTGGCGTAGTAGGAGTATTGGTCGCAAAGAGACTGAGCGAGGGCGAGGGGGGCGAAAAGCCCGGCGAGGAAGACAAGAGAGCCCTTCATTGTGAGTTTGGTATAAGATAGAGTGGTTTTTCTTAGAAGATAGACAATGGGTTGCTATTGATTTGAATCTCTGATGAAGGACTATATTTCTCGACATCTTATGCCTTCCTTTATACTCGGCTCCTAATGGAGAATCTCTTTACATGCTATACCGAATTGAACTACGGAAGTTTCTCCGCGAACACATCGAGGCCTCAATCTGGAGCTCATTCATCTCAACTCACAATAATGGCCAGTTACGATGAAGCTGTCGTACATTCAAAGAACACAGTCGGTCCTTTTCTCGAGTGCAAGGCTCACTTTCTTGCAGACTAACGGAGCTTTTTAAACAGGAGCCGACGGAATTCCCACCATCTTGGCTATAGCTCTGGCATCTATCTGGAACCGAGCGACACCGAAGTGAGATGAACCCCTGCTACTGTCACTCTGAAACAAACGCAGGTTAGAACACCATTTGCCATCACCCTGACTTTTTGGTAAGCGTTCTCCACTAGTCTTGGCAATACTTGGTGGAATCGGGGGTTGCATCCGGAGCTCTGGATAAACTAACCTGCTCGTTCAAGCTCGTTCATGGTAGTTATCCCGCGGGAGTGATGCCATGGAAAACAAGCCCCCCTGGCTTATATATGGGACTCCTGCCAGACCTGGTGCTCAACTCCCTAGTCGGCCTATCACGAGGTCTGCCAAACGGAGGCTAGGGTCCGTTCTGGAATGGGACAAGTCCAAAGTGTGGGGAAGCGAGACCAGCTTCAGGAACAGGTTTGGGAAACGGTCCAACGGGCCGGGAAAAGCGTCAATCATGCTTCATTTGGACGTCAACCCAGGTTCATAATCGGCCCATTTACTCCAGGCCAAAGTCTATTCCACTGTACCTTGTATGATGGCTGATAAGATAGTTGGGAAGACGATAAGGCTTATCGTCGAAACCACGTTTCAAGCCACGGGATGTGGGGGATTGCGTGCTCTACCCGGGAGAAGGAATTAACTTATATATTTAAGAGCACTGCTTCTCTCAGACACTGTCGAGATCACTCTATGCTCGCTTCATCAGCTGTGACCAATTCTTTGCCAAGAAACGGTTAAATTGACAAAATGTTAACGTAGCAATCCTTTCACCTCCGCACATGCTTACATCTGGTATGTAGATCGTTGTTGTCAATGCATTCAAAGACTCAATTCCTACAGGCGCGCATAGACTCCTAACACGAGCTCCGGAAAAACACTGCTGCCATGATTGGAAAATACTCAATTGTGTTATGCATTTCGAGTATGATATAGCCATCACGCCGTGTTTAACAATTCTCCCGTTGCAGCTTCGCCCCATCAGGAAAAACTCGTCCGAAGTGAGGCAAGCTTATCGATAAGCCCAATGAGGCATTCAGCTCGGGGGTATCACCCAAATGATACGCAGTTTGCGATGTCAAGTTCCCTGGAAAAAAATAAGGTAATGCCTCTAATTTTACGCTTGTTTGGCAATGATTGCAGGCGAAATTTCAGTGCCAGCGTCCAAGAAACAGACCTCCTCAGCAATTGATGGAAAATGATCTACCGGCTAATAATGAAACTATTGCTGTTTCGAAACATCCCCATGCAAGTCTCAGTGTGGCAGGGGATGTAGCCCTCGGACCCACAGACTCCGGATCCCTCATTCGACCATTGATGGACATTGTCGGCTGTTTGGAGAAATGGATTGACTACCGGGTGAACTTGTTTGGAACACGCATGACTATGATCTGTGCAGGATGGCTCCTTTGGGAAACCCCTGGTGAGGAGTCTTCAGGGCTGGCACGGGTGAAGCTTCGGCAGCTGGAAATCAGGGCAACGTCTAGTGATACGAGAACTAGTATATAATCATCTTTAATTCTTCACCTTCAAGAGATTTTTATTCTTCTTCATCACACAAGGATCTGCTAGACAGAACCAACTACTCTCTTCTTCTTCTTCTTCTTCTCCACCAGGAAACTCCAAGAACAGGCTCGGTCCCTTCGTTCACGATGAAGTCTCTTCTCACCCTCACCCTCGCCCTCTTCGCCTCAGCTGGGCTCGGCGACGCTGCCTCAGCTGGCTGTGGCAAGCAGCCTCCCTCCAGCGGGGTCAAGACCATGCAGGTCAACGGCAAGAACCGCGAGTACACTCTCCAGCTGCCCAACAACTACCAGAACAACAAGCCCCACCGTCTCGTCTTCGGCTACCACTGGCTCAGCGGAAACATGGGCAACGTCGTCCAGGGCGGTTACTACGGTCTTCGCAACTTGGCTGGCGACTCTACCATCTTTATTGCCCCCAACGGTCTCAACGCTGGCTGGGCTAACCAGGGCGGCGAGGATATCACCTTCACTGATCAGATGCTTGCTTTCGCCAAGCAGAACCTCTGCATTGATGAGAAGCAAGTTTTCGCTACTGGATTCAGCTACGGTGGTGCCATGAGCCACAGTGTCGCCTGCTCCCGACCTAGTACGTCGTCGTCCTCATAAATCCCAAGCCGTGTATACTAACTCATCATAGACGACTTCGCTGCTGTCGCCGTCATCTCCGGTGCTCTCCTCTCCGGCTGCAACGGCGGTAACACTCCCGTCTCTTACCTCCACATCCACGGATCCGCCGACAATGTTCTCAGCATCCAGCAGGGCCGCCAGCTCCGCGACAAGTGGATCGGTACCAACGGCTGCCAGCAGAAGACAGTCAACGATCCCGCTCCCGGTGCCACGAACTACGTCAAGACCTCTTACACCTGCAGCCGCAAGCCCGTTACCTGGATCGGACACGGTGGTGGCCACGTTGGCGACCCTACTGCCAACGGTCAGAAGTTCGCCCCTGGTGAGACCTGGAGCTTCTTCAACGCGGCTGCTGGTACTAGCGCTAAGCTCCGCTGTTAAATACCCTGAGTATTTGCAAACCTTGGGGACAGCTAATGTTTTGGCTATCTCTAAGTCTCGCACTTGAGAAGTGGGGAGAAGAACTTACATTCCTTGTACATTGCAACCTGGTGGAAGTATTATTATATACAAATGGTCCAGTCCTACCGAGGGATCCAGCACATCCTTCACTGTACATAGTTAAATACCTTGGTGGACTCGGATGACAATACATCACAGTATATATTTGCACAGCATAAAGACTCATGATGAGATATGAATATGTTCAAATAGTGTGAAGTATTGGGCCAACGACAAAAGAAATTATGCAATTTGAGGCTTGCTGCCTGTTCCCCTCGGTCCATCCTCAAAGTCTCCTCTGCTACTTTTAACATTCGCTAAACGTGTAGCACTTCCTATCATAGAAAACCGAGGCCTGCTTCCCTTTACTCGACGTGACACCGAGACTCTTGAGGTTCTTCCCGTATAGTTGACACGTCTTATCCTCACCATACCCAAAGCTCAAACACTGTTTGCTCTTCAAACAGGTTTCGGCACAAGTACTCACGCTCTTCACGGAAGAGGCTTTGCCTATGATGGACTTGGGGGGGACACGAGCCTTTGCCACATTCCTCTTGCAAACTGAACGTGGAGGGGTCTTGGAGTTGGCGACAGCTGAGGGAGTACATGCTGCTGCAGCCTTCTTTGAAGTCGTGGATGCTTTGGCCGGGCTGACATTCTTAGCAGCAGCCTGAGTAGCTTTGGTGTTCTTGGTAGTGGCTGTTATAACACTCGAGGTCTTGGTCGGCTTCTTAGTCTTGGTACTGGTGGGCTTCTTGCTAGTAGTTAATGTCTTGGGCTTCTTATTCGAGGTAGCCTTCTTATCACTGCTACTGGACTTGCTCTGAGCGGTACCCTTTTGTTTAGTGGACTTGGTATCGGTCTTCTTCCTGGATGTTGGATCAAAGACAGGCGCCGGCTGTGATCCATCACAGTCAGCGAACAGACCACTACCGCCGCAGTCCATTCCAGTTCCAGACATACCGCCCTCATCATCAGATCCATCATCGCCAGTTCCGTCATTGACATAGCCAATGCAGCCTTCGGCGATGGGATCGCTCTCCATGGGATCAATGAGGGGAAACTTGTTTGTGTCATCACCAAGTGTGATAAAGGCCTCAAGGGTGTTTTCGAAATGGATGTTCCAAGCGATGCCGTAGCAATCGCCATCGACGTCCGTGACAATCTGGCCGTCATCAGTGACTGTCGCACTGACTTCGAAACTCCCTTCCAAAACAACTGACGGTGTGTCGACTACCCCTCCTTTTGCTGACCATAGGCCCGATAGCACATTGAGCTTGACTCCAACACTCGCTGGCAGGCCTAGAGATGCCTCCATCTTGAGCTCACCGGTGGCTTCAGTTCTGTGCGTAAACACCGGCGTGAGGCCATTAGAGTGGCTGTTGCTCGAGTCTAGCAGATCGATCAAGATGTCAATGTTCTCCCACTCAACCGAAGCTCCAATAAGTAAGGTGCCAGTTGCTTCAATAGTCATTCCAGCTTGGACATCGAGACCGATATAAGGCCCAACCGTGCATAGAAGTGGAATGCCAAAGCTCCAGGGAGAGAACTCGGCGACAGGATATGTCCATTCCTTCTCATACGTGACGAACGCCTTCAGGCCAAGGTTGAGTCCGGCTTTGAACTGAGCGTTGAACTGGATCTGAGCTTTCTCCATTCCGCTGAAGATACTGGCTTCAATGGTACCGGTGAGAGACGCCTGGCCGCCAAATCCGCACTCCACGCAATAAAGAATTAGACCATAGGACAAGTCGCGCTCTGCAAGTGTGGCGTTATCCCAACGTTTATGGTGGCCATTTGGGTCAGCGACTTCGCCCTTTTTATACGAATCATCCTCTTCTCCACCTTCAGAACCCCATTCGATGAGCTTTGCAGCATTTGGCCACGGCGCATCTTCATCCGTACCAAGAATTTCTTCGTTGTTGAGATATTGAGACCACTGGTAAGACCAAGTCTTGCTCAGGCGCTTTTCAAGCATATGCGGCTCAAACATCTGTATCAAGTTAGTTCAGACCCGGGCAATGGGAAACAATGGTTGCAACTCACGGCTCTCTTATCGATGGCCCGCCTGACGTTTAGGGTTCCAATTTTGCCAAAATCAAGCTTGAAACGCTCATATACATCGGCATATTCAGTCGTGGAACCCTTAGCAGTGAACGCCTTCGTGGTGTCGTTGAACGTGATGGATTGAGACAGGAACAAGTCATTGGCATGATCTTCGCCGCACCCGTCCACGGAGGTAATGAATATGATCTTCCCCGCGCCCTTCCACTGCGCCTTAGCATAATTATAGGCAGCGGAATTCGATATCACGCCACTCAAAGCACCCTTGGTGCAGGCCACACTTGACACAAAGACGGAATGGTCAAGTGGGATGACGGGGTATCGAAAGGTAAAGTTGGCTTGAGAGAAGATGGCGTTGTCGCGCTTTCGCATTCGTTTCGACCCAGGCTCTGAGTCTGGTGTACCAGCCCAGGCCAGAGTAACCTGCTTATCGAGAGTGAATACCGAGAAGTCCTTTGGATCAACCTCCGGGGGGATGATGGGTTCGAGAGTTGTGCTGTTATCGCTAGTACTTGTAGCGTTGGCATCATCTCGACGATCGAGAATTGGAAGGTCATGGCTTGGAGCAGCGGACGCGCTAAGGATAAAGAAAGGAAGCACAATGAGAGAAGAGAGGTTCTTGGTGAGCTTCATGATGGGCACCTAATGATTGGGTTCACCAAGAAGCCTGTGCAGTGAGGTGAAATTGAAGAGAAAGGAAAATACTACTGGTGACATAGAGCACAGCCCGAGATCAGGACATGAGAGTCTAATAGGACCTGAGAAAACCAGGATCGCTCTGTCACATCGCGGTGGCCCCTGTCATCTTGCTGAAGCGGACAGACTCTCTGTGGTCAGCATTGTGACTATTCCTAAAGCCCGTCAACAGTTCCGTGAGCCGCCCGAGTAGGGTGTGACGAACAAGCCACCTCTGAATGACCTGATCAATGCGATTCTTTTACAATATAAAAGCTAGTATTAAGCAGAATCTAGACTCCAGTGTGTATTTTGAATGCAGTATCTTCTAGTTCAATCGTCCAGCTTTAGCTTTCACGACCTCGATACGTATCTACTTCACAGTTGGAATATGGCTAAAAGAACCATCACTTATCGAATTCCAAGCGTTCTCCCGTGTGCAGCAAAGCCATGTCTGATCTGAGACTGGTCACTATAGACCGTTGGTATGCATGGCTGAGCTAGCATTGTCCCGGGCCGCCACGTGCCGACCGTGCCTGAAGCAAGGACCTTTCTCGCCGAAGCCGAGTTCGCCTATGGGCAAGGAAATGAGTGGCTGAGATCGAAAACAACGAATTGGATGCATCGGTAAAGGTTATTTATGCGTATAGCAATAAATCCCCGATGCAATAAATGGTGGCGGGAAACGTGGCGCTACTATTTTAAGGTTGTCTAGTCATCGCTTGGGACGGGAGGTAATCTTGGCTAGATCCTCCAAGTCTCGTGCTCACCCGGAATAGGATGTTGAACCAGGTTAAAAAAAAGCTTGTTTGGATAAGCCATTGCTTGATTTTGCCCAGCTTGAATGGTCCGTGGGTCTGGTATGCTTTGTAATAGTCGTTAACGGGACAAAAAAGTCCATGCGATGTGGAAAGTCCTAATGGAGGTCGCCCAAGCTTTTTCTTATCATGCCGTAGATGAAATAATAGTTCTTATCATGAATAACGTACCTGACTTTAGCTTAACTCCATCCATACGCCTGGTACAGATGACTGTCATACTCATGGGCTTGATTAGACGACAAAAGAATAGTTATTGACCGTCACGATACTCAGAGACCTCCTATCTCTTGTTATCCTGTAAGTTAACTCGAGTCTTTGATCTAAATACCTTTGATAGGGTAGCCAACTATTCGTTATCATCCCGCCAGTGATTGATTGGCTCGCAGTTTCTTTCTGAATCTGGCCAAGACAAAAAGTGGCTGACCACGTTTTGAGAAGATGGGGAAAATGGAGCTAGACGAGGTATGGAAGAAAGACCACTTTGCCGTGTTCACATTCCGAGGCTGGGGGTCTGGACAACGCCATCGCGGCCGACCCTTCTTTTCAAAACACTTTGCACTAGTGCACTCTTGTCTACTGTATTTTGCTCCGTTCTTCAGAACAGGGGTATGGCTGTTTGCAGGTCGCTGTAAAGGTTGAGCGTCTAATATTCTGAATTCTTAGACTGCGTTGTATGGAGTGGCGAAAACCGCATTCATATAATATAGGGACCGTCGTGGTATATGTAGACCTTGAGTTGTATATAATGACTGGTGTTAGGTATTCCTCTAGTTAGTCCAACAGCACAACAATCCTTGTCCCCTCCCCATTCACCATGAAGACCACTTTACTCTCCGCACTGTTTCTTCCCCTTCTCGCACCATCCGTCATTGCAGCCAACGATGACGATGTGACTTGCCAGACGAAACTTGGCAAGGAATCAGTCGCAGATGTCCAGACTGTCACCGTTACCAAGACAGACAGTGTAGCCCCTACGACTACAACTACAATAATTCCAACGGTGGTTAAGAAGGCCAACCAATGGTCAACAATCACGGTATTCTCCACCAAGACCTTCACCGTCACTGGCAAAGGTGGCACCGACACTTTCAGCACTACTACCACGCTGTTCAAGGTGGCCACTGTCACAGTGACTGCTACTAGCACTACTACTACTACAAAGACAGGCACAAAGACCTCAACGTCTACTACTCAGATACCAACTACTGCTGGATTCAAGTTCATCTCAGACACTGTGAACTCAAGGTCTTTGAATGCTCAAAAGCGTGACAAGTTGTTCCAAAAGCCTCATGGTCGCGCGCTAATCAAGCCTGGAATGAAGGCTTTCAAATTCCCTTCCAAGGTTCAGTGTATGTTCTCTCTCATATACACCGTTATCTATACACTGACTAATCTCTTTACAAAGGCACCAAACTCCTTCCAAATGCCAACACAAAGGTTGTCCAAAAGACTGGTACTCCAGTTACCAAGACAGTCGATAGTATGCAGACAACCACTATCGTAAAGACAATCTCTACTACCACTACCCTCATTCCCAAAGACGTTTCCGTCACCAAATCCTTCACCACTTCCATGAAAGTCACCACCTACTCCACCAAGTGGAAGACAACAACCAAGTCTGCCACTGCAACCAAGACAAAGGTCATCTCTGGCCCTACCGAGTATGCAGCCTGCCAAGAAGCAAACATGTTTGGCCCCAACTTCAACAGTGCAAGCACAGGTTACTACGTCGCCAACGTTCTCAACAATGGTCCTGGCATCCCATCTGATTTCCAAATCGTTGCAAATGGTGCCAGCAGTGCTGAAGAGTGCTGTAGCTCTTGTATGCAGTTCACTGGCTGCGAGACGTGGAGCTTCCGTGCTGCTAACCGCAACTGTTTCCTTTTGTACCACGCTGGTTCGACGTGCAAGTCGCAGAGCAACCATCCCAACTACTTCATGTCCAAGAAGGGCTCTGATACTGGCGCTGGATTTATTGTTGGTAATGGAAAATGTGGCTTCACTTATAGTGGCAACAGCGACGGCTCGGTGTTTGCCGTTGATCTCTAAGTTTGTAGATAAATTCTTTCCTTTGTCTTAACATTCTGGTATTACCAGCATTTAATAGCAAGAATAAATTGAATTCACCCAAGTACAGTTAATCTACTTAATATCTTCCAAGGGATACAAGCGCTTATACGCCTATCAGAACATACAGCTCTCCCGTAGAGTCACTAGTCAAGAACAGCCTTCCAAATTTATCGAATGCCAGACCAGCCGGTCTAAAACACCCTGAAGGACACTTAGTATTGTCCGTGTTCCACATCAGTGGCACTTCAGCTTTAGGGTCGTCAGACTCCGGTACCGGCTCACCGTTGGCAAAGTCCACCTTGCTGAGGCGATGGCCATCACCAGGGTTGCGGTTCCTGGAATAAGTTAGTGAACATTCTTGCATCACTAAGTCATATCTGAGGGCACTCACCAGCTTCCATGGAATGCAATATATGCCGCATTACCGTCAAGGAACTTGATGTCGAGAGGCGCAAGGTGCGATCCGAATGTGATTCTTGGGGCCTGTTTCTCCTGGCACTCCTCATCTGTGAATCCCAGATCTGTCTCACCCTGTGGCGTACCAGCAAATTGCTTGCCAACCTTTGCCCCGCCGGGGAAGCCTTTGACGTTGGAGGTGTCATAGATGGAGAAGCATCCGGGATATCCGTAGTTCGCACCATACTGGGCGCTGGAGGTGTCGTTGGGAAGACCGTGGAAGTTGAGTTCCTCACCAGGATTGGTGTTATGAACATCGACGTCGTCACGGTAAAGGTTATCGACTGAGTTTTCAACGGACCACTGTAGACAAGGTCAGTTCGGAAGCTCTGCCACAAAGTCCAAGGTCCTGGCTGTGAAGAAAAGCTGCACTTACGATATTTCCTGTGGATGGGTCCTCTGCCCAGCCAACACTGTTACGAAGACCCCAGCCAAGTACCTCCGCCTCACCATACACCAGAGGAGCATCCGCTGCCAGCAGTTCATCAATGTTAAATACTCTCACCTGACTGCGCGCAACATCCTTGTCAACAGTCTCAACATCTAAGTTGCCATCAGATCCGCCAGCCACGAGCAACAGGTTAGGATTGCCAGCGAGAGGGATCGTCAGGGTACGGGTAGAATGAGTAGAAGTCGCACTCATCCCCGTGATGACGGTTCTGCGAGAGCCGACAGTGCCTTTGGAGGCATCGTAGTCGTAGGCGTATACCTCGCTGGGAGTAGAAACGAGAATGGTTTTACCGTCGGCGGTCAGAGCAATGCCGTGGTTCAGCTATGTTGACAAAGTCTTGTTGATATCATGTCCTAGCTTCTCAAGACCATATAGAATTGGACAGACGTACATTCGCGTTCGAAATCAAGGCGTCATCAGAGTCGATGCAGACATCGAGGTCTTTACCATCATCGAGGACAACCCTTCTCACGCCCTTGCTGCCAGCCTCGGCGATTAGGAGATTGCCCTCGGTATCGACAACAAGGTGCCGAGGACGCTGCAGACCGGTACGTAGTAGCTTGAACTCGACGCCATTGGCGGTAGCGATACTGGCGGTCGGGGTGAGGTTGCATTGCGCAGAGGTGAGGCCGACAAGAGTGGCTCCAGCTGCAAGGAGCACCTGTACTAGGCGTGTCATTATGGCCCTTTTGGTAAAATGTTAGCTGTTGCAAGTGGATAAACTATTGCACAAATGGAGGGCGACTGGCGAGGAAATATATATTGATGGGGGTAAATCACTGCCCTATGCATCAACATTAGCATTCCACTCTCCCCTCCCATTCACGGCAAAAAGTCCATCAGTGACATCATACCATTCTTCAAAAGACCGAGACGAGGTGAGAGAGGAAAAGGTCCCTACTCAATTCAAGACATTGTCCCGTGCTGTATCCTTGTAAGACGTGACATCGTCCAGGTATTGCCAAGACCACCTTCCCAGCCGTCCCTTGATAATTCTCCACTCGGACGATATTAATAAGCGGTATACAAGATAAGCTTAAATGCTTATGGTGCTAAGCTGTCAGCCACCCGAGGTCCCCCCAGCCTAGCGCTGTCAACATGGCATTCGAAAGACGTCTTTGCTCGACTCAAGAGATTCACATAAATTTTCCAAAAAAATCATGTTCGTCAGCAATTTCAACCGGGAGCTGGTCCATCTCTTGCATTATCCAACTTCTCCAAAATGCGCTTGTTCAACCACTTGCCCAATCAGGTAGCTATCGGCCGGTCCTCCGATGGCCCAATCGGGCAGGTGTTAATTCACGACTCCAATCAATACTTCCCTACTCCGTATTAACTTTTAGACTCCGGCTATTCTCTAGTTTCCATGTCACATTCCTTAATATGAGAATTACCTTAATCTAAAGAGGCTCTTATGCGTCATCGTACGCTCGGTAGTATTGTCTGGTAATGCCCGCTTCGACAAGCAGAGTTCTCAAGCAGATATAACAGCGTATCGAGTTTATACCCCGTAGTGCACATAGACTATCCAGTCAGACCAAGATTCTTCTTTATCACATAGTACGACATCTCTTGTACTTACATTTTATTGCACTCTCCTGGCCACTGTTTATTTCAATGCTAATGCTGTGTTAATTGTTGTGCCGGATGCCTAGCCAAGTATCCCGTAGCTTCCTCGTTGCATTATGCAGGCCTTTGGCAACTGTCCTATCCGTTGCTCCACTGTTTCTTAGCTTCCTATAAACAAGCCTTGCAATCGTAATACAGAGAAAATCCCTAACTGCCTAAAGAGTCCCGATCACATACTAAAGCCTAGGAGCTAGAAGGCTATCTATAAGATAAATACCCTTATCGATTAAGTCGTTATTTTGTATCTTTCCTATTTTGCATACACAGAGGTAAATAGGAAATAATAATTACCTTTATAAGTTATTATTAAGAATATTTAAGACTATAAGAAAATTAGTTTTAGTATTATTTAGGCCTAATAATTATAAATAGTCCTATTAGTATTTTACCTAGACCTAAATAGATAATATTATTATTACCTATTTATACTATTATTACTTAAAGAAATAATTAAAAAAAAGATTATATTATAAAAAAAAACTAATATAATTAATAAGTATACAATGCAGATAAGTATATAATATACTTTTATTAACCTTTTTAAACTATAGCTTAAGAGCTTAAGCTATAGTTTAAAAATACTAGCTTTTAC